GAGCGCTCTCGGGGGCTCTTCGGGGCGTAAAGTGTCACGAAAGTGTCAGCTCCGACGCTCTCCGCAAGGTACACAACCGTGTACAGGCCGTGAACGAAACGTGGGCACGCGCGCAGTGGTCTACCGGGTGGTACAGAAGTCTATACGCAACTTTCTATTCAAATGGAAATTTCAGTGTCGAAACTGGAAACTGCTTTTGTGAAGCTTGGCGCAAAATGTAAATTTTTGTATGTTGGAAAGTCTGTTAGTTTTATTTTCATTTAGGAAAATAAATGTCGTTGATACCATTATTTGTATGCTATTGTAAAATAAGATTTCGAGATCTAGATGCAGTACAATGAGATAGAAAATACAATACGTTCGGAACAATCAGTAAAAATCGAGACTAATAATTATTATCAGAGAGTAAGGTAAAGTCATAAATAAATTTTCGATCGCAGGAGTTAAACGAACATCGATTGACTTCGTCAATTTTTGACTACGCGCCATGACGAAACGTATGAGTAACGTTATTTTCCGTTCAAAGGTAAAAATTAATCTGTATGGTAATGTATTGAATGAATCAAATTTATTTGGAGTTCATAAAATACAAAAGCCCGTGACAGAGTAATGACGACGATAAATATTGCCTCACAAGTTTCCATTCGACTGAAACAGAAATTTTAGTTTTGCTGGAATTATTACAGTTTGCTTAACCGTCAATACGTTGAAACTTTTTATTACACGAAAAATAATATGAAAACATTACAAAATATTATTCGAGTTTTTATTCGAATACGCTCCATAATTTATATAAATGAATAAAATATATAAATAAGAATAAAATATATCCGCTGTAATTATTATACATTGGCAAAAAAATGTATCAAAAAGAAATATTCGATCACTGCTAGTGTTTGCATCCAACCTACAAGTCTGTTAATATATGCCAATAAGTTGAAAATGATTTATACTTACCTATCCCATGATAATTTAATTTGTTTCATTTGAATTAATTAACCGATTTGCATTATTAACGTATATATACACTCTTAAACAAAGTTGTAATTGATTAATGAATGAATATTATGACAGCATTATAATAGTACTATTATTTTATATTATTATTATTATTATTGTTGTTGTTGTTGTTGTTGTTGTTGTTGTTGTTGTTGTTGTTGTTGTTGTTGTTATTACTTACTTACTTACTTACTTACTTACTTACTTACTATAATATTACAGTTTTATAATATAATATACATACTTATTTCTAATTATTAACTTATTTTTAACTATATTTCTAATAATTTACTAATAATGAAATATTTTTTATTTTGCCATATGATGCAAATGAATTAAAAGAAAGCAGTTTACTCCTTTTTATTATCAACTAGCATAGTTGTCAAGCCATACTTTCGAAGCACCCAGTACAGAAGACACGAATGTACGGCTTTCAGCGACGCAGCGACCTACAACAGGAGCAACGAGAGTCCGCATAGACCCTCTCCGGAGATCAAAGAACCGACACGGAACGATGCTGAATACCACGATGGTTTTACGAAACGGACTGCCGAACAGAAGAATCGGTCTGGTGCAAAGGGGTAGCTAAAGGGGGGTGAGTGGGGGTTGTTCGAAGTTGTCCAGGAATGGAGATCAAGCAACCACTCAGTCCCTTCCACCCTTAAAAACGGAGGGGGGTTGAAATCAAATACGGACACGGACGAAAAGTTTCGGGCTTGTCAAAACGGTGGTTAGTCGCGGCGGAGACGGTGCTTGACTTCGTTAACGGGAAAAGGGGGCTGGGAACGCGCACCAGCAAATCTCTGTGTCCCCCTGGCCAGGGGTGGTGATTAATAGAGGGCGATCGTGAAATTGTAATTAACGAAAATTCAACAGACGCCGAACGATAAATAGAATGGAACCACGATTATTGCGAACAATTAGAGCTACATCAATGCGCGCGAACAATTTTCATCTCTGTTATAGAAACAATGGAAGCAGTTGAACTATTTTCGATTTCTTATTTCAGGATCGATACCAAATTCGTTTAATTATATTTCGACGGTTTCATTTAATACAGCAATTTTAAAATATTCATGGAACATTTCGATTAAATTTGCATACGACCCGATTGTAAAATTAGAAATAGGTATTTCACAGACTGTTAAAATATGGAATCGCTGTAATGAAATTAAGTGTCGAGACCAATTCGACGTAGGACCGCGAAAGGTTAAACTGGTTTGTTGGGTTATTAATGTCGGTTTTGTGGATGCAAGTAAATCAATTTGCTCCGGTGTTGTTTTATTCGATCAATTATATTATATAACGTTCGCCACAGTTTGTCCCGCTGTGCCGTGTTACTCTTGTTTCTTAATTAACTATTAATAAATAGTAATCTTAGCTCGCTGAAATACCGAAATTACTTTCCAATCTACCCGATACAATTTCACCATCCACCCGTTGTTCCCCGCGTGCATTGTAAAACAGCGAGGAATCGTTAATGGCGGTGCCAGTCAAGCACGATTAAATAATGCGCGCTTATTATGTGCATAATTAAAAGTTCGCGGAAACGGGGCGTCGCGAACGAACGATTTCACGATGGCGACGTGATCGTGTTAGTAGCGCGGACCGAACGGACGAGGCGACACGAACGGTATCGGCAGCGATCCTATGAAAAATTCAATTGTACGGAGTACATAGCCGGGTAAATATTTGATTTCGAACTCGCCGGAAGATAAAGGTCGAGTAATTTTGATATATTATCAGTTGAATGTTGCAACACGCACATGTCGTGGCGGCCATAGAGCGGCTGTAGTTCTACGATCTACGGGAAAATCGTCCTCAGTCTCCACTTTTCCCGGGTAATTCCTTCGAATCCGCGAGGCCGCGGCGACGATGACCCTGGAATTGTCGAACCTCCCGCTTGCAACGATGCTTCTTCAAGTTTTATTCCTCACTCTGATGCTATGCCACGTATGTAATATTATATCTCATCGATCGGTGAATTTAACTTACCGCACGTTGGACAATAAAAATGATTGCGTTCAGCAAAATGGTGTGTTGCATTGTATATAATACATTATTCTCGCTGTCTATGGATTATATAAGTGGAAAAATTCAAGTTTTAATAATTTCGTATCGCATATTTAATCAAAATATATCTTCGCATTTGTTTATTGCGATATACTCACAAATGTTTTATATCATTAGTTCCACATGAAGAATAAAAGAATAAACAAAATTAGCGTGACATAGATACCTCATGTTTCTATTCATACAGAAAAAACAGCAAGTTCTACGTTTAATAATCGTACATAATTCTTTGTAATCTTCTCTTCCAAAGCAACAGCGGTACGACAAATTTTCACTAAGAATAAAAGTTAACACTAACACCAACAAGCTTCTTTCCAACGTGTAAAAAAAGTTACGGACACGATCAATTTCCGCTAGCAGCTTGGCCGTCGCGGGAAATCCAGGCAGAAAAATGATTAGAGCCCACCGCGTCACGGGTGTTTTATCTTGCCAGCGTATCGGCGAGGAGATGCGTTAGATAATGTCGGTTCCGCCGGCAACGACAGCAATACACTGCAGACATCCGTCGACGGGGACGTCGGGCGGCGCACAATGCGCGCGGGGACGCGGCCCTGCGCGTGCAAATGAAGTACGGCCGCGCGGGGTACGCGCGCATAAAAGCCCCGCGTGCGTTTGCACGGCGGAAAAAAGGCTGGCTGCGGGCCAATCGCCGGCCAATTCGAATCACTGAATCAGAACTTCGCTGCGAACGCCCGGTGAAAAAGTTCGAATCGAATTGTTTCCTTTGCGTCTCACTGGACAGGGGTTGACCGGCTGTTCGTTTCGGTGAACAGGAACGTTTATTAGCGGGACCGGCGGAAGCGTTTATTTTGCAGCTGGTAACAAGTAAGCTCGTTTCGGCAAAAAGTGTCTTCAAGCACAAAACACCGACGCTACGCTGACATCTTTCCGCCGACAGTACTCGCGGTCCGCGAATCGTAAAGAATCTTATTTAACGATTTTACCGTTGTAATTGCGTTTTGTTGGTCAATTTATAATCGCAGCATCGCCTTCCTTGTCTAATCTGCTTGTGAGCGGAGGACGATGATCGCTGAGAGCGTGTGCAAAAGAATAAAATGAAAATGAGCCAGCTGGAATCTCGTCAACTGCTTGTACAATTATTAGATCATGGGTTTTTATGCATTTATTGCTTATCGAATTTTCGACAAAGGATTAATATGAGATTTTTAGAAAATTTAATTGTGTAATGTGCTTTTTATCTTAATGGAATTATTAACGCGAAAAATAGTATTGTACCTTATCTTAATAGATGTTGTAATTTGACTGTAATTAGTATGTGATGAAAGTAACAGCACAATTTAGTTTATAACTATTTCCCTGACTTTCTCTGTTTGATGAAAGAAAAGTTACGTTAAGTATGCAACCTTTTTAAAGGAAACTAGGAAAGGTTGTAGTCGTCGTCGACTTCGCTTGCCGCGAAGATGACTAGTCTGAGGAACCTATACGGAGAGGTAACGACTCCGAGAGTTTTCATGACTCGTGGAAGTTAAAATACTCGATTGTTTTGATTTCCTTTGTCGCCGAGTTCGTTACAACAGAAAAACGGATCAAAGCAAAACGAACGAAGCCTCGCTTTCCCAAATAAACGATCGACCCGGCAAAAACAACAGCGTTGTGAACGATTGTGAAAAGCGTACCGTGGATTTCGGGGCGCGTCACCGATAAAAATCTAATTAATGCGACAACACGGCAACACAGAATCAAACGAATACTGGAAAACCGTTCACCATTCTCGTCTATTCAACCGTGCCCCCATCCACGCATTGGAGACCGGCAATATTTGCATTCTACGAACCGTACAAAAAAGATCGGCAGCCGATTCGTTGTTCGTCCCTTTGACGTGCAGTTTGCGTTCACAAAATAAAGGATGGATCGTTGGCGCAGGCCGGTGGCAAAGGTTGATTCCATATACAAAAATAAATCCAAGATGCGAAGTAAACGTTGAATGACGGCGATAATCAATAAAATATGTTTTTTTACTCGGATATTTTAATCAACGCCCATAAACCTGCTAGTTTTATATTCGTTTTACGAAAACCCTCGTCCTCTGAATATAATTGTTGAAATTAACATTTTTACTGCCCCTAAATCTAGAGAAAATATTAAAATACAGAAATATTTTTTCTCGAATGATTTATTACCTTCGTCTATATAGCAAAACATTTTTTTAAACCTTGCTATCGCTATAATCTGTTTATACAGCTTATGCTTTAATTAATTTTATTTATTAATTATTAGTTTTGTCAAAATCGTAGCATAGTGTACAGAAAAATAAATAGTACTGACAGTTCGTACAAACAATGCACGGAGAACGTTTCCTAGAACAATAATTATTAACGACGCAAATTAATGCGAATACGGATACTGGTATCAGCATTGAATTATTATAGTTCTATACCGATTTAATATCGCTTGTACATCGGTACTAAATTACTAATGCATCGATTATATATATACGATTATTAATTTCAAACTTTCCCATCGTTTAAATCATTACAATCTTATTATAATACGAGCCAGTAATTAATGTATCATGTATCATATTTGAATTCAGTTTGGAACAATGTTAATATTATTTTCATATTGATTATTAAAATCATTTTCGTTATTGTATTCGTAATTTTTTTACAGTAACTGATTTTATTATGATTGTACAGTCACATTAACACCGTTGCTTATTTTGATAATAGTCGTTCACATAATCTATATTTTTATTTGTCGTTCGTTAGATACAAACATACACGTGACAAACAACAAATATGTTCTTATTATGCCGAATTCACCTGAATATTTAATAAAATTATACTAACAGGTGGGCCCGAATAGTTCTGTCAGAGATGTACTTGCGTTCAACAATGTATCTTCATTGACTCTCGTTTGGAGTAAATTGCAAATTGTCACCGTTACATAGGTCTTTGACAACATGACAATTCTCGATAAACAGGTCTGGTTACGCACATTACAGCAGTAAATTTTAATTGGTCTCTTTCAAGTAATGAACCTCCAAAAATAATGAAAATATGTAATTTAATTTGCTCGATTGCACAATTCAATTGACAAAACATTCGTCAAAATCGATATACCCTTTCAATCTGCCGACATTTTGTACATCTTGCATTCTTTTCTAAATTAAATACACTAGTAGATACGCTCCTTCAGTTTCATTGGAAGAAAGAAACTTTTTGCTCCCTTAATCCAGACAAATAGAACAACATTTACAACGCGCGTCGAACAGTAATCTGTGAAATAAAGTGGCCGGCAATTACTTAAATAATTCCTTGAATCAATTTTCTCTCGATTAACGGATGACTTTTTCTCTCGCTCACGACTAGTGGAAAACACTCCTTAAAACTTCAAATAAACCCGTATTAACAATTCCCGCAAGAAACGCTCGCAAACGTCCTCACGAAAATTACTGGCGGAATTATTTAAGCCTCCGGCCAATGAAAATCAACACCATCAGAATTGCTTCCCCCGTCGGTTCTTGTCCATGAACATTCCCGAGAAACGATCACGATCTCCGGGACCGTCGCGGTGCATCGCGCGCGATCGAAACGCGGCGATTGTCGCGGCCGGTAATTGCCGCACGATTATGTCGGGCTATCGACGACGACAACGACAACAACCGGCAACAACGACCGTTATAATTGCTAGGCGGGCAGCGAAAGAGGCGCGGCTCGTTATTCGAAAATTGTTTTCGGATACGACGGTTTTAAGCGTCGTTACGCGCGGCCGTCGAACGCGTTGTCGATGGAATTACGTAAACGGAACGGTTTTATAGCGGGGGCGGGAAGCGTTGCGCGGCAGAGTAGACGTCATTGTTTTTTATGTAACGACATCGATTAACGGGGCGGCGAGGTGGAAGTGGGAGGGGAGAAGGGGGCGGCTGCGATTGGATGCAGCCAGAAGCCGCAGAGATTTCCGCGAAAATTGAAATACCGACGTACGCTCGCGGCCGGGTAGACGCTGTCTGCTCGATCGAGGACAATTTCAACTTTTTTCTTTTCCCCGCGATTGTTTTTTTCCCCGGGTTTTTTTAATACTGTTCCACGTCGACGCGTAAACGCTTCGGATAACTTGTTTTCCCTGGTCTCGAAATTACGGTGGGGGCGTCGTTTCCGGCCAGCATGGTCGGATAGAACTGCGAATTTCACTGGCACCAGAATCAATAAAACAATCGATCTGCTCGTCGTCGTCCGACTAGATGCATCGCAATCGGCAGCTGCCGAAAAAGAGGAGGGAAAAAAGAGAATTTTTTTTTGTTCGGTAGCGCTCAAATACCTGTGTTTACAGGGGCCGGGGAGGGGGAGGGCAGTTAAAACGAATCCACGCCGAAGCGAATCGTGTTGGTTACTCATGTATTATTTCTGCGTTTAAAACTGATACCGATTCTTTCGTGAAAAAGTCCGGCCGACGCGACCGATTCGGACGGCCGGGAAAATAAATATTCAGCCGGTACGAGTCGGCAATACCGGAAGTTAATTGTGTTTATTCAATGTTTCGTTAATCGTAATGACTTGCGGCGCGCGGCCCGGGATCTATAAGATTTTAATAGACGCGGATTAATCTGCTGGAAGATTACAGGGCGGATTAAAAAGCGCTCGACGTATTGTATTTTGCAATTGTTATTGTAATAACGCGAGAATAATTAATCCCGATTTAGTCTTTTTTGAAGTCTTTGTTATAATAAGTCTTTCATTCTTCTTTGGGGCTTTCTACGTCGCTTTCTTATTGGCATTGCGAATTATGTTATTATTTATGTTGTGTAAAATCGTCTGACAGTTAGAATCCTCAGTTTAAAATGTTTATATAATGACAGTAAAAAGGGAAAGTATAGAATATTTCTTTTTTAAATGTACCATCAACCATTTTATAAACTC